TTCTCTAACAGTTAAGCTTTTAGATAAAACTGTACAACATGACCTCATAAAATGTTGCCAGGTCAAGGTCGACTATGCTCAGAGGGGATGCGCATAATTCCTGCATTGTTGTTCAGATATGGTGTAATCCATTGCATTTGACATGTATGACTCTATGGTGATATTGCAGGCGATAAAGGTGGCATTGGATCGGAGTTCATTGGTTATTTCTAGGCGGATCTCTTTTTGAGTATCAGCAATCACCACTTTGGCACCATTTTTGATGATTTGCTTGCTGTTTCTCTCCCGAATCCACTGGCTGCACCAGTGATCAAATAAAGGATCGAGCTCAAAGCCCTTGTAAATTGTAAGTGGTATTTGGAGCACACTCCCTTTTTATACCTTCGTAACAAGCATGAACACATATAGAGGGTTACTTCCAATATTCGACTGTTTTTGTAGAGTCACCTAACTGGAAAATTGGGTCGAGAAAGTAGTGGATTTTAACTAACAACCTCTTCTGAATTTGACGTCGCTTTTAAAAATTGTTTATGAGCTTATAAACACACTGAGACGCTTTTCTTACAAGCCCATTTTAAGATGAGCTCTATTCAATGCGAACAATGAGCAATACTTAGCCTCCTTTGTATACAAATTAATTTAAAAAATGATTTATAAATTCATTCGAAATCAAATATTAATTTCAAGCACATATTTACAAAAACTACTTATTATTATCGATACATTTCGTGTTGTTCATCTTACTATTCCTATTTATAAATCATTTGTAAATTTGCCAAACTGAGGCTTCGTACTCGTTAAGTACAATTAAATGTAGTCAATGTGGCTGTTGTTTTCACTTTAAGGCATCTTCTTTACATTTGGCACCCATTTTTTTTCAAATTTTTCACTTTCTTAATTATAACTACACGTTCTCCAAATAAAATAATATTACACATAAATCTAAAACTTTTCATTATTTTTCAACCATACATTCTTCCATCAATCACTATTCCAAAATTTATAATTTACCCAAAATGGGTGCCAAACACATACTTAGGCCCTTTTGAGCAAAATTATTGTATAATGAGAATGAAAAATATAGCCGTTATTGGTGCCCCCATAAAAGATAGAAAATTTAAATTT